GACGAACCAACACACAGTATCCAGCCTTCATTACCCCTCTCCAAGACCAGCCCATCGCGTCTTCAAACGCACCACTAAATACCTGCGCGACAATAAAAGGACACAGTGCTCCACCTACACAACCCCTGACCTTCCTCCAACATTAGCTGCCCGTCTTGCCCTATGCAAAGGCATCCACTCAAACAAATATCGGCCACTCAAATCCTCATACCCAACTCCCAACATACCACTTCGGCTCCTTCCGAAACAAAACCCATACTCAACAACCCATCGCTGCTCGTCACACACATCACAGTATATTGCCCCCATTTAGCTTCCCCCATCCCCCACTCAGTCCACAGGGCTGCAGCTGCCAAATCCAATGCAGTGTTCAACACGCATATGCCCCTCATCTTGCATTTATCCGCACTTGCTGTGTGGCAATATACACTGAACGCTACACAGTCTAGTATGAACCAGCACACAGTATCCAGCCGGGATTAGCGCTCACACACACCTGCGCATCGCGTCCTCAAACGCACCACTAAATACCTCCTCAGCGACACAATGACACAGCGCTACACCTACACAACCCCTGACCTTCCTCCAACATTAGCTGGCTGTCTTGCCGTATGCAAAGGCATCCACTCCAACAAATATCGTCCACACAAACACTCCTAACCAACTCCCAGCATACCGCTTCGCCTCATGCCTAATCACAATCCATGGGTTAATCCGCGCCGCTTCTTCTCACACACCTCACACTATATTACACCCATTCAGCCTCCCCCCATCCTCCACGCAATGCACAACGCTGCAGCTGCAAAACCTTCGCCTCCTTCCTAATCACAAGACATGCTCGAAATCGCGCCGCTTCTTGTCACACACCTTACACTATATTACCCCCATTTAGCTTCTCCCCATCCTCCACGCAATGCACAACACTGCAGCCGCCAAACCCAGTGCAGTGTCTAACACACCGCAATGCCTCATCTTGCATTTAACCGCACTTGCTGTGTGCAATATACGCTGAACGCTACACAGCCTAGTATAAACAAGCACACAGTATCCAGCCTCCATTAGTCTTCACCCACACCAGCGCATTGCCTCCTCAAACGCACCACTAAAAACTTCCTCAACGACAAAATGACACAGCCCTCCACCTACACAAACCCTGACCTTCCTCCAACATTAGCTGGCTGTCTTGCTGTATGCAAGGGCTTTCACTCCAACAAATATCGGCCACTCAAATCCTCCTAACCAACTCCCAACCCTTCGCCTCCTTCCTAATCACAACCCACCCTCAACAACCCTCCGCTTCTTATCACACACTTTACAATATATTACAACCATTTAGCTTTCCCCCCATCCCCCAGGCAATGCACAGCGCTGCAGCTGCCAAACACGCGCACCAGTTCATCGCTTCCTCAAACGCACCACTAAATACCTCCGCAGCAATAAAAGGACACAGTGCTCCACCTGCACAACCCCTGGCCTTCCTCCAACATTAGCTGCCCGTCTTGCTGTATGCAAAGGCATCCACTCAAACAAATATCGGCCACTCAAATCCTCCTAACCAACTCCCAACATACCACAAAACCCATGCTCAAAATCCCACCGCTTCTTGCCACACACTTTACAGTATATTACTCCCATTTAGCTTCCTCCCAACCCGTACTCAATGCACAACGCTGCAGCTGCCAAATCCAATGCAGCGTGCAACACGCTTATTCGCCTAATCTTGCATTCAGGCGCACTCGCTGCGTGGCAATATAAGCTGAACGCTACACAGCCTAGCATCACCCAGCACACAGTAACCAGCCTCCATTACCGCCCACGGGCACCAGCTCATCGCTTCCTCAAATGCACCACTAAATACCTCCTCAACCACAAAATGGCACACTGCTCCACATACACAACCCCTGACCTTCTTCCAACACTAGCTGCCCGTCTTGCCGTATGCAAAGGCATCCACTCCAACAAATATCGGCCACTCAAATCCTCATACCCAACTCCTAAAACACCACTTCCGCTCCTTCCTAATCACAACTCATACTCAAATACCCCCCAATTCTTGTCACACACTTTGCACGGTCTTACCACCATTCAGCTTCCCCCCACCCCCCACTCAATACA